ACGCAGGCGGGCGGGCCGCGCAAGTGTGGTCTCGGGAAGCACAGAGCCGAGGAGCACGACGCAGGCGGGCGGGCCGCGCAGGTGTGTTCTCGGGAGACACAGAGCCGAGGAGCATGACGCAAGCGGGCGGACCGAGCAGGTGTGGTCTCGGGAAGCGCAGAGTCGTGGAGCACGACGTAGGCGGGCGGACCGCGCAGGTGTGGTCTCGGGAAGCACAGAGCCGAGGAGCACGACGTAGGAGGGGCCCGAATGTTGAGGGATCCTCTGACCGACGAAACCCCAACTGAGGGATCGTTCTTAACAGGGGGGCCAACCGATCACCCCTCGCGTGACGAGCCGCGGGCTGACGATCCCGCCACGACCTAAGAGCGCTACTGGCGCCTGTTCAACGACCCGGGCCTGCTTCCCCCCGAGGGCGCTCCGAGTGTCCCCTCGCCCGTGTCATCTGAAGCCTTTCAGGACCTCGCCCTCCTTCTAGCGCCAAATCTGTTGGTGTAAACAACTTTATGCCGTGGCCTCGGGGCCGACGCGGCTTGTTTCGGGGCCGAATGATGGGGATCTTTTTTCAAGGTCTTTCGGGGTTGCTGAAGTGGCCGACCGCGCGGACCAGATCACGTCGGAGTTCGTCGGGATGTCCCGTGGGGAAGGCTTCCTCTCCTTGGCGTCCCGACGAAATAGCTTCGTCTTCTTACCTGCACACAGGTCGGGTCGGAAGCTCGGCCCGACCCCTCCGACGATCGAGTTAGTGATGTGGAGTGGAGTAGTGTGGAGTGGTTCCCTCTTTTTTCGCTGTCCCCTCCTCCCTTCGCCCCTCTCCGGGGCGGGATTTTATAGGGTGGTTTACCGTGTCTGATGCGACTGCTTGCAGGGAGCGAATTGCATCTGACACTGGTGTTGGCGTGGCGTGAAGAACAGAGTCTGAACAGGTCGTTAATGGGCCTCGATCTACGTTCTGGTTCGTTTGACCAGGTTCCGCCGGGTCGTTTGAGGTGCGAGGTATCGTCCGGGACAGCTGACGTTTGCGCGAGTCTTGTCACCATTTATTATCCTCATCAGCTACCATTCAAAACCAAAGTAAACCAAGCGACCAACAGTTTTAAGCTGGGTTGTACATACCTAAACATATCTTGTATCCTATCCATTGGACAAGATTCCATTGCACTAGTAGCCTGTCAAAGGCAACAAGGTTACTCTTTAAGATTCACCAAGCCACGAAGTTTATTGTAAATGTGTCATCAAGAAAAGCACAGATAAATTGGCCCATGCACATCACAGTAGCAGCTACCTGTGTGTGTGCGCGCGCCGGGAGGAGAGAGAGAGAGAGTAGTAAAAGGCACACAAGAATGTATATCCAAAAAAAAGGATGTGTCAGCATTTTGGTTATATAGCATACAGCCAAAGAGAGGTTAGCTTCTAATATTGGTGCCGAGAAACAATCTCCAGTTAATGCATCATTCATTTGCACTGAGAAGAAACAAAAATTTGACAATAGAAATAGTATGCAAAAGACATGCAATTCTGAGGGGTCGAGTCTGCTTAAGCACGGTAGAGTCAATAGAGCATGACATTGCTAATCCCATGGACAATGGATGAATAAAACCACCCGTCTAAAGATTGGGTTTTCTTTACAGTACTAACCCCAAATATTAGATGCTTTGTGTGACTGCAGTTATGGATAAGTTAATTGGATCATGTGTAACCATGGAAGAAGGCTACCAAATAGCTCAACACTAAATCATGGATAATTTAATCGGACCATGTGCAAACCAAAGAGCTCAAAACTAAATCAACACCATGATAACAAAACTGTAAATGAATGAGCAGCAGATTGTGCTTACCCACATACCAATGCAATATTCTGCTCATGCATTTTTCTTGCTATCAGAATGTGACAAATGGTGATCAATTGATTGCAATTGGCTCCGCAGGTTTTGGTTGTCCTCTAAGAGGCGGTCATATTCAAGAAGTAACCCTTCAGATTGTTTTCTCAGAGCTATGGCATTAGCCTCTGCCGTCTTTACCTCTTTCATTCTTTCTTCTGAAGCCAATTTTAATTGCTGTATCTCTTCATTGAGACTCGTGATCTTTTCTTCACGTCCTTTTATCTCATCTGATTTCCCACTTTTCGCTTCTTCTAATAATCTGTTCTGCTTCGTTGCAGCCTCCATGCTCTTTCTTAACCCACGCCACTCTCTTATGTAATGGTGAAGACGGTCAATGATTAGAGCAAGAAACAACGAATATCCTGCAAAAAAAAGAGAAAGATTTCCATTTTCAGAGAGAACAAATGAAAAAACCATATTTGCATCAGTTCTAGCATTTAAAATAGAGCAGAAAAAATCCTGACATTCAATGAACATATTTAAAGTAAAAAATGTACGATAATATTGCTTGGTCTCCATCCAAGAATTCCTAATTTTCGGCTAGTGCCTCACTTTTCAACTGTATATGACCATCAAAAAAGCTAAACTGCAGGCTACAATAAAGTTTGTCAAAACAGAAAACAACATGACCAAAATTAAGATGATCATAATTTATTAGTCAAGCTTAGTTTGCCTGCATTATATCTCTTGGATCGAATATAAGAGTTTAGATATTCCACTGTAGGGGCAATATTACAGGGGTTATGCATGCTAGATCCTCCCTTGTGAGGCTGTGAATGACTTGTACAAAGGATTGAGGTGTTTCCGTGAATATATATATATAATGGTTCTGAAAAGTTTCTGATCATGATTAGCACATGATGCGTTTGCAATATTAGAGCGTTTGTATTAATAATAATGCTGAATTATTATAATATCCTTTATGATCGTCCATTTCTTATGGTGATACACATGAAGACCTGTAGAATGATAAGACTTTGCATTCAAGCAATCTTCTCAATATTAGAAGGTAATATGTGAACATTACAGTAGAATATGAAAAATAAAATATTGTTTAAGTGTGTACTGATTGATACTTTCCAGCCCCTACACAATAATTAAGGTTCATTTTGATTAAGCCTGACTGAGGCTAAGTACTGATATGTTCAGTTTAACAGGGGCCAAAACACATGAGCATTTAGAATAGAAGCATATATAATTTGTGCCAATGAGAATGATGGTCCTATCCCAAAAACAGTGATAATTAGAATACTGTAACAGTCTTTTGGTATGCCATTGGGTACATATTAAGCCTTAGTGCAACAGTAGGAAGCTCCTTTACGACCTAGAAGACCATGGTTCACGTCACCGAAATAGCTTTTTTAAATATTTAAAAGTATAACTGCATATATTGACGTTCCCGCGACCCCGCATTGGCGGGAGCCCACTGAGTATGCCCTTTCTTTTTGTTTTGGTATGGCACGATGGCACAAAGTTCAATGTGACATGAACTGGTCGAGCCATGCCCATTCCACTAGTTCCTGTTGAGATCATATCCGTTTAATACAAGGGACCAACCAATCTTGTAACACTCGAGTGCCTGAGTTTGTTCACTAATCCAAGAGATCCGAACTATCTTAGACTCACCAGCAAACTATACAATCTATAGAGTGGAGTAAGCTCACTGATCAGAGGTCAAAGTTATACACATATGAATACACTTATTAATTTCTACCTAAATTATAGAAGTAAATAGCACACAAACTATAGAGCAGAAAGGATAACAGAAGGTACAGTGAAGATTAGAAGGAAGAAAACTGCTTCTACAATGAAAAGGAAAAAGGAGAATAAATTAGAAAGGACACTGCCACCAGCAATTAGCAAACATCAACTTAGCACATTTGCTGCTCTATTACCAACACAAACCTATATTTAAGGTGAATTGTACTCTGATACTCTTACAAGGGAATATACCTTTTGTTGCTTGTTTTAGTTTCTATATTATCAACTAAGAAGAAATTCAGAGAATAACCTAGGCCTTCACGGGGTCACTTAAAGCTAATCATGTCATTCTTGAAGGCTTCAAGATGCTAGGGTGGGTTGTAATATTTTTCTTCCATGGTGAAGTTTGCCAAGATGCAATTAATCTCTTCAGGTTCAAAATCTTGATTGGCCCTTCTTTGGGCTTGTGGCGAATACTAACTACTATTGGAGACTCTGCAAAATGGGGGAGAACATTGTTGGTATAGCTTGTATAATCTTTGGTAATGTTCGGATCATTGACAATCCCTCGTGCACATAAGTGTAATCACCAGTTACATTGATGTCCAACTGGTTTTAGGTGTTGTCAATCAAAACTTTACGTGGGCTCTCTGGGCAACCTTGTCATGCATGGACAATAAGTTTGTCATTGATCAGCAGGCAGTAGCATAAGAAAATAACTTCTTTAATTATGCCAATGGAGACTCATACAAGAAGTGATTAGCATCGTAATAAACATCCAACTCTTTGTAGCTAGACAAGGAGATAGATAGCAAAGCATGATGGATGGACACAATAGTGGTAAGTCATAGTAGAGTGTCAAAAAAGATCCCAAAGGAAAAGTAATAAGAAAAAGTTTAAAGAACAGGGAGAAAAAGGGGAGAAGAGAAAGACAGCAATGGAAGAAGATAAACTGAGAAATAAAAGCTTTATTATCCTTTACATTGTGCACTTAAGAGCTGATACTACCCTCCACAAAATCCCTCTATATATATAATTCTTAAAACACAAGCATCATAGAAAAATGACATATCCTATGCTATACGCATATTAGGACTTTCAGACACTAGAAAGATCCTTCAAAATAGCCAATAAAAATAAAAGTATTGCTACAAAAAGTTTCTTATTGGCTTCCCTATCCATCTTCTCCAAATATAATGATGACTTTCTTGGGTCTCCTATTATATAATTTGGGGATGCTATTGGTCGCCAGACCTGGTTGCATCAAAAGATATTCTAAGTAGGATTCATGTTAAAACTCTTGAAATTTATCGATCCCAACTTACTCTATCAAATCATTATAGGAGATGATACACATATACGTGAAGAGGTTTCATATAAATTTGACCAGGACGTGACATCAAGCCCCCTCAAAATGATCATTCAAGGATCTAACAGAATCAAGTTAGCTCTATAGTTGAATCAAAGGGCTAAATACTATCTTTATTTGGCCGGTACTACCACGAGATGATCGGGGTTAATATATGGAGGCTCTGTCGATGATGTCAATTGACTCATTATCGTATCCAATCCATCATTGAAGATGAAGATTAAGTCGTTGTTGTATGCATCATAGCATTGCCAAGACCACTTAATAGTCAAGATCACTCAACTAAGATGGTTTGAGACTGGAATAGGTCCAACGAAGTCTCGACCTCATATGCTAGTTTGTGTTCTGCCCTAACCAGAATTATCGATTGCCGGCGTTGGCGGACAAGCAATTTGACGAGACACAAGTTGAAGTCAAAGAAGAAATCCAGACAATACTACTCAAGCAGGAGACAACCAAAAGCCCTAAACGAGAGAAAGAAGGAGAAGAGCTCTGCACCCATGAGGGAAGCCTCGAGAAAGTGCCGGCTATGGAGGACCTGATCGGTGGGGGTGAGGGCGCCGATCTGGTCGGATCGGCTCCAGATCTTGGACATGCTGTAAAGGCTGGATCCGAGAACCACGAGACCTGTGGCGGCGATGGTCCTCACCACGAGGGGGCCACGTCCGCGCTTGAGGCGGTCGAGGCCGAGCAGGGCTAGCTTGCGGAGCGGAGTGTTGAAGAGGAGCACCCCCACCACGGCCACCTCCGCGAGCAGCAGCGCGAACAGCAACTGGATCATCGGGGCCTCCTCCTCCACCACAACACGACGATGACCTACCGCGAGACGAACAGAACGAGCTATGAGTTAGACGATTGCGAGGTATTTAATTTGGCCACTATTGATGGCTTTAGACAGTGTCGGCAAAAGAATTACATATTTTTATTATTATTTTAATAGAGTTTTCTTTTTTATCATTTTAAATATAATTATTTTGAGATACATTTTGAAATTTGAAATTTAGTCGGGAAAAAATTTCAAAAACATATCAACTTTTTACCTTTTTTTCCCGTAAAATTCCTCCTTTTGATTTATTTTCGTATAACGTTATTTATTTTTTAAAAGATAAGATCATCTTTCACCACCATCTAATAGTTTTTATTGTTTGAAGAGATAAACAAAAAATAAATACAAAGAAAGAGACAAATGATCGCGGAAGAGGGCGAGGAAACAAGAATAGCATGAGCCACGAATATCCGATTAACTCGTATACTGTGAGAGGGTGAGGGTAATGCATAGAAACAACGAACGAGGTACGGAGGTAGTGGTCGATGAATTAAAAGTTAAGATAATATGATCGTTCAGAAAATAAAAGATGTTTTTTTAAAAAAAATACTAAGAAATTTTTTTTTGAAGAATTTGCCCATTTAGTTACTGATTTTTTCAATATATTTAGCATAAAAGATATACTTCTATATTAAACTTTATTCATTCACTTTTAATGTGGGAATAAGTTGGGGTATTACATCTGATGTGAATAATACTGGATACATTTGTTTTACTAAGTATTCTTTCTTTGAATAATAGAAGAGAAATAAAGCAGCAGCTTGCCGGAAACTGCTCACTGTTCAGATTGTTTAGAGACCATGATTTGCCTGCAGCCAGAGAGAGTAATGATACCAAATGATCTCTCATCTTTCCCGAATCTCCTTTAAGCTCGTCAAAAAATGCTGCGTTTGCCTCTACCGAAAAGAAAACATGGAACAGATAGAAGAAAGCTAACGTGGAAAGATGAGAGATCCGAGTAGGCTGTACTATTCCTCCCCTTCAAGACTTAGGCTCCTTTCCTTCCGATACAAGTCTTGTTTAACGTTTAGGTACCCCACAGATCACAAAACACACCGAGTCAGGGCAAGCAAAGAACATTACAAGCTGTTCATCGGCATGGATATAAGCTGAGACCTCTGATCTCCATCTGCTGCAGACTAACAAGTAGAAGAAAGGGAAACACCAGCCTTCTTCTACCCTCGGAACCATGGCACTGAAGCCCGTGGCGTCCCTTCTTCTCTTCCTCAACTTCTGCATGTACGTCGTTGTCACTGCCATCGGAGGATGGGCCATCAACGTCGCCATAAATCGCGGCTTCATCATAGGTACAACACCTCGTTCAGATCAACCCTAAGACCGACCTCGCCATTGCTGATCCGTTGTCTCGAGTCTTGCAGGTCCTGAACTCGCCCTCCCAGCTCACTTCGCCCCGGTATACTTTCCCATCGGCAACTTCGCCACTGGCTTCTTCGTCGTGTTCGCTTTGATCGCTGGCACGGTCGGCGCCGCATCTGCCATCGCCGGATTCAACCACATCCGATTCTGGAACTACGACAGCATGCAGCCTGCGGCGTCTTCTGCTGTCACTGCATGGCTTCTCACGCTTCTTGCGATGGGGTAATGGCAAACGCTACGCATGGCAATACTTGACCCGTGGATGCCTACTTAATTCGATCACATTTGGTTGCAGTTTGGCCTGCAAGGAGATCGTTCTGGAGGGAAGAAATGCACGCCTGGTAAGAAATGACAATCTTCACATCTTTCTATGAACGCATTACTTTAAGGAAGAGTGTGTGACGCTTTGCAGAGAACCATGGAGGCTTTCCTGATCATTCTATCAGTGACACAGTTGGTGTACATTCTTGTGATTCATGGGGGTTCATCTACACGTCAAGCAAGTGCAAGGAGTTGATATGATCCATTTCTATCCCTTGATGTATCTATTTGTGTGTTTCCCATCAAGAAGAAGAAGAAGAAGAAGAAGAAGAAGAAGAAGAAGAATAAGAAGAAGCTGGCTTGCTATTGTGGGATCTTTGTTGTGTAATTGTAGATTTGCTGGGCGTGCACACATTTGACTGTTGTCGTTAATCTGATCTTATTTCAAAAGAAGGGTGTTTTGATTTCGGTATTTCAAAAGAAGCTGTAAATAAAGCATTAACTAAGCAACTAATTCAAGTTTTAATCAAACAAAAATAATTATCTCATTAATTTTAAAAATAAAAGTAATTAGCTGATTAGATAGCAAATGACATTATAATATGAAAGATTAAATATATTTTAAAAAATGCATTAAAATAAATAGCACGCAAATGCTTAGAATTATAGTGACAAGTGTGAGCATTTTTTATGCACCATTTAATATTGTCAAGATGTTTACGCAAGTATAAAACCTTACAATATTCTAAGCACTTGCGTGCTAATTCGCATTAAGCAACACGAAAACATTACTTTATTTCTGCAAGAATTAATTTGCGCCTTTTGGTTGGTTTGTCAACGCTACATATGGATACCGTGAGCGGGTACAAACGATGCAGTCTTCGTCAACCCGTAGTTGGATCCCTCTACATAAACACAGGCTTTCATGCAATTGATTTCACCAACATCAAAGCACAGAATAATTGTCTGCATTTGCTGCGAACAAGCATGGCTTCTGCATTCAACCTACTGCTCTTCTTTCTCGTCTGTAGCATCTTTTGCAGCACTTGGCCGACGGCCTCCGGTGGCGTTCCAGACCATGCAGTGGTGGAGAAGTTCGAGAGGTGGATGGCCAAGTATGGGCGCGCCTACAAGAACATGATCGAGAAGTCGTACCGCCTCGGTGTGTTCGCCAAGAACTTGAAGTACGTGGACGCCTTCAGCAAATCCGGCCGACGCAACTACACCATCGGCCTTAACCAGTTCGCAGACCTCACCAACGAAGAATTCATGGCAACCCACACTGGACTCAGGCGACCCAACGCCGCCTCCAAGCCACCGGCCTCACCCTGCTCGTACCAGAACGTGACCGGTGTTCCCAGTAGCGTCGACTGGCGGAGACGAGGTGCAGTATCTCCGGTGAAGGACCAAGGCTCCTGTGGTAAGCCGATATCAACTCTGCTCTCGATATATATCGAATCGAGCTTGATCGCTTTGTAACCAAAACAGGATCTTGCTGGGCGTTCTCCAGCGTAGCTGCGATAGAAGGAATTACCAAGATCAAGAAGATGAAGTTGATGGATCTGTCTCGTCGACTGCGTCTCCTCCAATTTCGGCTGCAACGGTGGGTGGATGAACAACGCCTTCGCCTTCGTCGTCTTAACGGGGGGCATCACCACCGAAGCCAAGTACCCGTACGTAGGATACCAGCGAGGCTGCGACTTCGAGAAGCTCTCGCATCACGCGGCCTCCATCGCCGGATACCAAGACGTCCCGGCGAACGACGAGGGAGCACTCATGGCGGCGGTGTCGCACCAACCTGTGTCGGTAGCCATCGATGCCGGTGGACTCGACTTCCAGTTGTACACAGGTGGGATCTTTAGCGGGCCTTGTGGGACTGACCTTAACCATGCGGTCACTGTTGTGGGATACGGGAAAGATGGGCGTGGGATCAAGTATTGGATAGCGAAGAATTCATGGAGCAGCAATTGGGGTGACCATGGTTACATACTGATGAAGAAGGATGTCGCCGCGAAGGAAGGACTCTGTGGTATCGCCATGGCTGCTTCTTACCCAACCGTGTGAGAGATCAAGAAGAGCTATGTCACGCCCAACCTTATCTAATTATGGACTCTGTATTTTACCTTTTGAATAAAGCTATGAATATGTTGTGGCAAAAATCATTTATGTTGAGAATTTGGATCCAAAAAGAGGAGATGGAAAGTCAAACATAAATAGAATAAATAAAAATAATAAAAATATTTTTAATTTATGATTAAAGACTACTTCATTGATGAAAGATACCTCTCTATCAATACTCTATGATGCATTGCTCTCATAAAAAATAAAAATCATCCTCCTATTTACAGTTTAGACTCATGATATTTAAAATACTATATGTATTATCTATATCAAGTAACTTAAATTAATTAAGCTGTGGCATCTCTTAGATCAATAAAACTTTTGTTAACATTATGTTAGTAGCCTCATATGGAAATATGTTAACAGTTAATGTTTCATCTTTATAAGACCCATCTTTCCATTTTTTTTTATTTGTGTTTGTTAATGCTTTCACAATCTACAGTAAAAATACTAAAATGTATCCCCTGTGGTACTACGATATTCATATCCATCACGAGTGGTGCCATCTATCATATCCTCTTCCTCGAAGGCGACGACGAGTAGATGCAATAGGCAGTGCCACTCACAATGAACAAAGATGGTGGAGATGACGATAGTTTGTTTGCCATCGAAGAAGGTTGGTAGAGGACAAAGATATATTTTTGTCAAAGTGATACAAAAAAGATGTACCCCTTATTACTATTCATAATCTCTTAAAAACTTAATAAAAAATATTTTACTATTCACAACACTAGTTTTCCCCGTCGCCTGCTCTAGGTTAATGAAACTGATGTAGAAGATGAAACTGCAGAATATATATAATCCTAAAATTATTAAACCATTATAACAAGTGTCAAAAATTATTTCTCACATCTTTCTCATCAATCTACAATTTATCATATTTCATCATCTATTATTTTTTTTATCACCAATCTTCTTTGATTAAGAAGAGAAGGAGAAGGAGGAGAAGGAAAAAAAGATGAAAGATGAAAGATGAAAGAAAAAAAAAAGATTATAGATAAAGAGTAAAAAAGTTTAATTAAAATTAAATTATAAATTGAGAGCATATATATTTATTAAAAAATAGTTTAATAAATATTTAAAATTTTAATATAAGATTATAAATAATAATAAAAAAATTATAAATACAAATATAAAAAGCCCAATATTAAAAACTATTTTTAGGTAAAATGTTCAAACAGAAGTGATTTAGCACGTGCCCTCAAAATCCCACCCAATCATATGCCATTTGGGTTGCTTAAACCGAGGTGTTGGGAGATTTGAACTTTGTGAAGGAAGCCTTGGAGAGAACCAGATACTGTCTCCATGATGGCAATTAAAGAGGAAGAAGAAGAAGACAACATGGGAATCTCCCCGCTTTCCACTTTGCTTCACGACGGAACTCTGTCCCCATCGCCCCCATCCTCGTCAGAGCGCAGTGCTCCTCTTCTCTCCGCTATAAGCCCCCAAATCCTATCTCTTTTTATCTTCCCAACGCCCATTGCTCATTGGCCCCCTCGCTTCAATCCACGGCCCCTCAATCAAACCCTCCTCGTCTTCCCCCCACCTCCCCCATCCCATCTCATCCCATCATGCCGTCAGGTGCGAAGAAGAGGAAAGCCGCACGCCGCAAGAAGGAGATGGGACAGGGCGCCCACGCTCCCCATTCCCCGACCTCCCCTCCCGCTCCTCCTTCTCCTTCAGGTAGTACTCGTCCTTTCCCTCTTTTGCTCTGTCCCCGTCCCCCTCCTCTTTTCTAGTGTTTCCCCGGCCACTCTGCTCATCTCTGTGCTCTCTCGTCAACGTAACAGGCGGCGGTGACGGCCACGGCCACCACCGCGAGGAGGACAGCGCCAGCAGCGGTGAAGAAGACGCTGCCGATCGTGAGACCGCCGTGGTCAAGAGGGAGGAGGCAGCCGCGCCTGTATCGAAAGAGGTTCAAGAAGTGAGCGTGGAGGTGGCACCCGTGCCTGCATCGGAAGAGGCCCAAGAAGTGGGTGTCGACTTGGTACGGGATGGAGCTCCAGAGGCAGGCGTCGTAGCGGATTCTCCGGCGGTTGTTCCTGTCGATGGGTCTTCTTCCGCGAAAGAGGAGGTCGTGGAGGTTGCCGAGCCTGCGGCCGAGACTTCCAAGACCTCGATCGATGTGGACTCCTTGTCACATGGAACTGAACAGAAGCCAGTTACTGTCCTCAACAATTTGGTCAGCCAAGTGCCTCGTGAGAACACCGAGCTATGCCGTGGGACAGCCGATTCTGAGGCGAGTACCACGAACGCCGATCTCCGTCTTCTGTTACTGTTAGCATATTGTTTTTTGCTAACTGCTAAGTGTTTTATGGGGATTGATTGGATTCACCTATCAGGTTTCAGTAACACTACTAGAGCGCCGAACCACCTGGTGGAATTGCTGTGGATTATTTGATGTTCTTACAGGATCCAGAGGAAATAGCAGGTTAACAAATTGTTGACTGCTATCCTTTTGTTTTTATTCCTTAAAGATTAACTTATCTCTGCATTAGTCTTCTTCCACCTGATGAAAGTGTTTGTGAAATTGCTTCTCCTCTAGTTGATTCATGAAGTTTATCTCTTTTTTTCTCTCTATCTTGGACTATGTTTTAGTTGCTCAGAGTGTGTTGAGGATTAACAAAATCATATAGGATTAGGACAGAGATAGGAAATATACTATTGGAAACGGTTACTTACCAAAGTAACCATGTAGGTGTGACTTCTGAAGTACAATATTGAGGTTACTGAAGATGGGGTGGTCTCTTTCATGGCTTTGATCCTATCCTACAATGTCTTGGGTCTTTGTGCTTACAATCCCTTTATAGATATTTGTGGTCTTGTGATTTAGAGATAGGGCATTGTATAATGTAGTATATATCTAATATTTGGGTTTATGAACAGACATCAGTTTTTGGTGAAAACTGAGTTTCTTTGTTGGGTTAGGAAATACCATTTTTGTATTTAGCTCCATCATAATTGAAGCTCCTGATCATCGGCTGTTGACATATGCCTATCAGCCAAGCCGCATAATCTTGTGTTTTGTGTTGAGTGATTGCCTAGTCCTCTCTTGACTCGTCACCCTATTCCTTGTATATGGTTTCCTTGCTACAACACACAAGATGACAGAATATTTCATGAGCTGTTTCAAATGTACACTTTTCTGCGCAGAAGGGGTTACATAAGATTAAAGGGATTGCGTAAAATACTCATGTTAGAAGGAAAAGAACAGGATTTGTGTGGCAAACCAATGGCTGAGAAGAATACAACTTCTCATATATAGGCAATGGTCTCATATATGTCCTTTTTTTTAATTCCTATTAATTTATTCTGTACTATCTTTTTTTTAAATCATAAATTGCACTTAAACGTACAATTATATCTTAACTGCCCCTGCAATTTACTCTTGGAGAGGTGATATCTGTAGGCACTAAATTAGATAAATTACCTTGTATCATTCTTTGTTGATGTACTCACTGTTCTTTTATTTAGTGGCAAATTTGATTCATAAACATAAGAAATTAGTCATTTATTTTTAGTTGGACATCATCATCTTTTTTTTTTTTTTTGAGATTTTTCAGTATAGCCTCATATCTTATAGGTGTTTTTTTAAGAACCACCGTCTTTTGAGTATTTACAATCAATCCCAAAGGAACACCTATAATTTGAAGTGCACTTCCTGGTAAGAAACTTGGTAAGTGAGCCTGCAGTTTTAACCCTTCTATTTCTTTCTTAAATTGAACATGACGTCATTCAATAGCTCCACCACTATCACGCAATGGCATGCCTTGGTGGTTCACTTGTTGATGGTATTGCTCCTTGCTAGTGACGCACGGAATGATTTCATGCAAATAGGCACCATCTTCTTCATGCATGTGGCGGGATGGAGTGGGACCTTCATGTAGAGCTGGAATAGCTTGATATTTTCACATAAATGTATTGAAGGAGTGCTGGACGTTGAGGAGATCAAAGACACTGAGGACAAGGCCAGTGTGCTTGTAGGCATGGTGGAGAAGCCATGATGAGGTCAAAGCAGCAATTGTAACTTGGATGAGGAGCATAATGGTGGATAGTGAGGAGTATGAGGGCAAACGATTTAGCTAGGATGCTCATAGGCATGATGGAGGGAGAGCATACCAGTGCCCAGAATTAAAATGATTTTCACGGAGATCTTCAGCTCGGCGGTTAGGCATCCTGCAACATAATGCAACGATATGGGCCCACAAGAATCTAGTAAAAGATTGACATAAATTAGTCATCTACTAACACAGTTGAAATGGATTAAGTTAATAATAGCATGCCTCGTTCTTTTACCTAATTTTGCACTTGTTTCTTTTATAATGATAATTAGGATGCCTAATGTGCTTAATATGCACTAAAGGCATTAATCTTTAGCTTCCATTATATGGAATGAAATCCATTGTGGCAATTGATGTTGATATCCTCCATAAACTACTCTAGTACCATTATGGAAGTTTTGATTGCCATGGTATCAAGAGTTTCTTCATCGCTATATGTGAAATACTTCAATTAGTCCCACATCGAAAGTGGACTAAGACTAAGATTGACTTTTAAAGGTTTGATGAGTATACTACTATTAACTTTAACAGCTTATTATAATAATTGGGATATTTTGAGATAAAGAATGTTGAGCATGTGAAGATTTACAAAATTAATAGTTTTAAAAGATGATAAGATAAGGAAAAATCATTTAAGATAGTAAGATCATGTTTAATGTAATGGTTACAAGTGAGTCGGTTAAAGTAAATGGTGTATGGAGAGGTCGAGGGAGACCAAAAAAGTTTACCATAAACTATATTGTTTAATGTTCTTAATTTAGCTAGATATGTTATGTTACATAGAGCTCAATGGTAGAAAAAGATCCATATATCTATAATTGGGATATTTTGACTTGTTATTGTTACATTAGATTTCCAAGTTGCCATACACTTTTAGCTCGAGGATTATTACAGTTTAAACTTGCTAAAAAATGTGTGAATGTTAACCTTGTTAATTTCATGATTTGATTTGTTTGTTATATATGATATGTTTGAGGATAGGTTGCTGTATGGACTTGAAATGGTTTGTGAATTGCCCTAGAGATTATACAATAATTTGTGTGATGTTACCGCTTAAGTTAAATTTATGATTTTCTCATTAATTCTAATGTTTTTCTTATCTCTTTTGTCCTGATTATTTGGAGCTGCTGATACCAATTTGAAGCTAGCTGAACTGCCAAAACTACAAACATGTAGGATAAGTTAAATCGAAGTTTTCGTCTCAGCCAAAAGGTCCAACATTCACAGTGAAATTTACTCTACAAATTAGCTTCTAACGTTTAAGGCCCAAGAAAACAACTATTTCATATGCTTAGGCTAAATGCTATTGATTTTACTTAATAATTTTCTGGTCTGATAAGTTCTTGGTTATATCCTGTAATTGCATCCAACCCGTACTAACTTCCTATGGGATTTTTTTCCTAAATAATTTTCTGGTCTGATAAGTTGTTGGTTATATCCAGTAATTGCATCCAACCCATACTAACTTCCTATGGGATGTATTTCGAGATTATATTTGGTTTGTTCAGAAGATGCACATTAAATGTCAGAAAATGGAGTGTTCTTTTTCTGGGATTGTTTAGGGTTGCAATATATAAATTGGTGCCATCTCTGCTGATCTCAATGATTTGACTATTCCCTACTGTCTCTAAATCGTTTTACTTTGTTTTCCAATCGACAACTTTGACTACTTGTCTGCATTTTTATTCCTTATCAGATAATAAAACTTGTTCTTGATATCCTAGATGACATTTTTTTTGTCATCATATTCATGCTGTGATACAGATTACTTTCTTTTGTGTCTGTTACTAAATTTGCTGTTCATATTTGGTTTACAAGATAAATTGCTTACGTTTCTCTTTTCACCCTATTATGTTTCTCCGATTTGGCTCTGTAGCAGGACATGATGATGCAAAAAGGAGACATGAATAAGAACTGCTTCAGGATGCCTTATTCTTCAATGCTTATAAGAGTATGTGCTGCACAAAGGTACTTCAATGTCGGCAACCCGACACAATGGCACGATACAATTCCTTTGTTCTGACGTATGGATGTCGTGTAGCAGTAGCTGCTATCGGTTCTTTTTCATTGGTACATGTGAAACCTTACCATTTGTTATCTTGTTTATAGTCTTCTTTTTATGCCAAAAGTTTGCTTGTTGAGTCTTGGCAGTCACAATTCAATCGGAATTTGTTCTCGTCTTCTGTATGTTAGTAAAAGCTTGATTTGAATCATGTGTGACATATTCTTTGGTCATGTTTTATTAACTTATGGCTTCATTATAACTTTTAAGCTGATTTTATTTTATTACCTTCTATTATTATATTTTTGGAGGAAAGAGTGAAAAGAGTTGTCTCCACCTTGTTTTCATTCAAATTATAAAGCGCATTCTAATAGATCTAAGGCATTGAATTCCTTGAAGTGCATCACATCACTTTGATCTCTCTGGAATCATTGTTATGACCTGCATCATATGTTGAATACATCTGTAGGAGATATGTGGTGAACAAGAAAAAAAAAAAACAGATATCATTATGACCATAAATTCAAGAAAAAAAAAAGAAGTTGAATGTCATGTAATATTTGAATAAAGAATTTTAAAATGGGGGCAAATAGCTAAATTTTGAGGTGGTGTCTATTAAGAGTAAAATTATGGTTTAGAATAGATGAGATTAAGACCTTTCTTTTGTATTTTAGGTAATTATGAATGACTAATTATTATTAATTGTCTTATAGTGTTGCTCCCATCACTTGAAATCATTATCATTGAAAATACTGCATAAAAATCCATGTTCAGCTTGTATTTGTATTAATGTAACTCCAAGTCATGTTTCTATTTCTTGAATAAATTAAAACCTTTCTTTTGTATTTTAGGTAATTATCAATGACCACTTATATTAATTATCTTATCGTTTTGCTCCCAAACTTGAAACAATCATCACTGAAAATTTTGTGCATTGTTTTGAGGTAACTCCAAATCAAGTTTCTATTTCTTGGATACCAAGAAAATTAAAACCTTTCTTTTGTATTCTAGGCAATTATCAATGGCCAATTATATTAATTATCTTATCCTTGTATTTATTGTTGTCATGTTTCCATCTCTTGGATACCGATGTGATTACCCTCGACACAAAGTTCTCGTTACTAATAGAAATAATTGAAGAGAAAGAAGTGAAAAAGCTTAAATATATTAACATGTCCCTCTCCTATTTATACAGATTAGGAGAAATGATTTCTCTCAACAGAATAAAGGATTTTTCTTGACAGAATAAAGAAATTTCCTCGAAAATCTTATTTTCTATCGAAGAACACTGTTTCCATTTCTCTTTCAATCCTTCTCTCACTTTTTGTTTGCTGACCAATTGTAGCTTTAGAAATACAAATTTCTCATAATATGAACATAGACGAATTTTTTTCAGATTGATTCATCAAAGATTTTTAGGACTGACAGCTTATCAATCATATTTCTTTTAATTCAGAAAGGAAAAAAAAATTATCTTTTTTTTTCTCTCTTCCCAATCATCATTTTGTCACCCTTATTAGCTTCTCATAATTCTCTCTCGATCTGATGCAGCCTCTCTCGTGCAAGACAAAACATTATTCTCCAGTTAAGATTTCTTGTTCTCGGTCCAATAAGATAATGCAAAAGACCAACTTAGTCTCATCCTGTCGGTGTCAACCTTTCAAGGGGTCCAAATTGGCTTCGACTTCGACTTCGTCTCCTCCTTGTCTGCAATGCCGCCCCTCTCCTTTTCTTCTTCCGCGGCCTGCTTTTTCACGTGCATGGACGCAATCGTTGACCTTCCAACGACGACGCGTGGTAACGCCGGCCGTCAGAGGTCCTTCTCGATCCAATTGGAGTAGGGGAGATGAACGAGCATGAGGGAGTGACAAAGGTCGGTGTACACTTATCGATTACATGATTCGATTTCTATCCGCAAAACCAACAACGAATCGTGTAGAAAACAACCGAAAAATAAAGAAAACAAGGCAACAGTAGTGTATTAGTAATGCCTATTGTTGCAAGCTGTAAGATTTCTTGGCGACGTTGTCGTTTTGGCTGCTGTTGACGGCCTGATCATTACCGCCGATGATGGACTTGATGGCAGCGGCGAGCACCGCTGTGAAGTTTGGGTCGGCCGTTATGGCAGCTGTTGCCGCGTTCACGGTTTCCTCCAGTGAGGACGGCATGGTCGTCTGCGGCTTTGGGTGTGGGAATTGGGCGGCGGCCATCCCGGACGACACTTGCAGCCCCGAGAACCTCGACTGGTTGAGTAGTGTCTGGCCGAAGACCGGCGGCAGGGACGGAGGCTGAGGCAGCGCACCGAGGGCCGGGAAGGGGAACTGGAATTGGCCTGCGGGCGTCCTCAGGGACTGCAACGGATCAGGGCTTCGGGTGAGATCCAACGTGACGGTCGGGAAAGGAGCGGAAGCCGATATGGTGGCGACGCTCGAGGAACAAGGGAGAACAGCTCGTGACAGGAAGTTCGAGTTCATCAGCCCATCGGCGCTCGACGTGGAACCCGAGAAGAGCGTCGATGCCGCGGCCGAGGTGGCCGACGCCATCGCCATCGCTGCCGGTGGGAGGGGGTGGTTGTGAGTGCCCTCATACGTCGTTATCAGGATCGATCGGTCGTCGGCGCACCTTTGCACCTGATCGAAGAAGCACGCAGTGGATGCTGAGTTGCAGCCATCATAAACAGTGACGCACGAATGAATCGAGGAAACCGATCTGCATTTACCTGTTTGCGGACTGGGCAACCGGTGGCCATGGTGCATCTGTAGTAAGCTCTCGGGCACGGGTTCCCCTTCGCAATCTTCTGCCCATACTTGCGCCATTGACACCCATCGGTGATCTGCAAGACAACCGGATCAGTTCAGCCGATCGACGAGTGCCAAACCCCTACTGGTCGTGAGCGGTGGTGAACTTAATTACCGTGGGGGCTTCAGATCGAGCTCGAACAGAAACACGAGTCCTCCTCATGGTGGATTCCTGCTCGGCAGTCGCTGTGGGGGTCAATTCAAGTGCTTCGCGGGGGTTACCTTCGTTCTTGTGTAGACCGTAACCCATCGATCCCACTTCGACGTTTTCCGGCGTCGACGAGGATCGCTCGAGACTAGCAGTTGACGAGTTGGAGTGCTCGTCGACGTCGGCGTCCGGACCCAAATCCAGGAACTGCCTCAGGACGCGAGCTCCTCCTTGGTCGCCATTTTCGGCGTCGATCTTTTCCTGGATGAGAAAGCGATTGATAAGCTCGGGTTCTCTGATTGCTTTGATGTGGATGAGTACGTGAGCGATCGATCGATTACCTCATGTGCTTGCGGGGTTCTGTTCCGCTGCTGCATCAGTGTGGCCAGTTGCATCTGGAGGGCACTGTAGCTGGAGTTGACTTGGCTGAGCATTCCCCTTAGCTTCTGGTTCTCTTCGTTCATGCGTGCCAATTCCGCTTGCATGGCTGCCATCCCATCGTCCACCGATTCCTTAGCCGTATCGCCGTTGCGCAGGTGCAATCCAGTCTGAGCATATCCAAACTCACCAACATAAGACATCTAAGATGTACATGAAGACGTTCAAAGGTACTGTAATCACCAACCTGAATGGTGAGGTCTTCTTTCTTGATACCAAGACTTGGCACCTTCAGATCGAGATCTGTCTCCACCGGGCTTGCTGCAATCGTATCCTTTTTCTTCTGCTTCTTCTTCTCATCGGAGAAGAAATCCACCTCATCCGCGACGACCCGCTTGCTTGTCAACGCCTCGTTCGCCGTCTCAGCATCCCTTCGGGGATTTAGGCTGAACGGGAACTCGATGGTGCCGGCGCCACCGTGGTGGCCGCCGGAGTCCATAGGCTGTTTGCGCTTCAGAATACCTCCACCGCCGTAGCTCAAAGACGAAGCGAGGAAAAGAGGAGCCGATGTGTCCAAGGTGAGCACTCCTATGCCACCGCTGTTGTCCATATAGCTCTGTGTCATGAAATGGCTGTGGCAGGATCGAATAGGAAGAGATCAAGGGAAGGCAGAACAAGGAAGAGAGGAGATGAGAAGTCCGAAGTCTTGCTCTGGTGCGACGAGGAGGGCAATAATAAGGGGAGGGGGGAGTAGCCGTGGGCGGCGCCACGATGACATCAGGCGGTGCGTCAGCGCTCTCGGCGGTGAGGAAGAGACGGGGCTATACTTACCACCAGAAGCGGAGGAAGACGGTTAACCTCGAGATGGACGATCAGAATCGGCTGTCTACCTGGCTTTTTATTGGACAGAATATTACGTGGCACCCTACGCTTGAGAGGTAGGTGAACGGGTACTCTGTAGTGATGTAAATATTTAGGAGTCAACGGTCGAATACCGGTTCAACGCGACGCTTCCCACGTAAAAGGGCGGGCCAACTCGTCAACAATTTGACTGGACCCACCGACTCTTCCTCTATCGACACGAGACACGGAACACGAGATCCTCGCCTTGAAAGTGCGGGGCCGAGACGTTGCCGACATCAGCTCTCGTCGCTCCTGCGAGGCAGACTTGGCAACTCATGTCTCGGCCGAAACAGGGATCGGAGGTACTCCCACAAGTTCGAGTCCGTTACGAGCAGTCACGTCGAAGGAAGAGCAGAGGCGAAGGCTACACATAGCTGAATTTTATATCGTCCTTTTGACTTCTTGGGAGGACAGAAAGAGTTCTCCTCGCAAATGGAAGTAATATTCTTGGGCAGACAAGGAGAAGTATCGATGCATCATCATCATCTCAATCTCACTTATTCTTACCAGTTGCCATGTCTCCATTGATACGAAGGAACCTTTGACTTTCGTTAGGGCAGGCAAAGCAAAGCCGCAAAGCCTTACCCGAGGAGGAACGACGGCAAACAACAGCTCATTTAATTTCCTCTCCGTTGCTTTTGTTGACTGGAGATGGACAGTGGAGGCTGCTTTTCTGTCGGCGAATTACACGGAGAAGCTGAAAAGTCAACCAGAATAAAGACTAGCCCTTGATCCAAGGAGCCAAAAGTCAGCGGTGCCAGGTTCATTTGATCTTTCTTTATCTCTCTCTCTCTTGTTTGTCCAACAACGCAGCCAAGGATACAATAGTATTGTGATCCAAGTACAGTTTGATGTAAGAGAGAGGGTGATGGATGGATCCGGTCAACATGTGGTCAGAGACCTGCTGCTGTATGTACAGCGTCGAAGAAGGACAGACATGGCAGAAAACAATATTCTACGCAAGACATTACTGCCGTTCCCACACACGAAAAAAAAGTCACAATAGCATGTCGTGGATTCTGGAAATCGCTCCAGATTTGAGACTTGAATGGTAAGCTAGCTTTGGTATCTTGCACACTGACTCTTCCATTCACACGAGGGATAGCCGCCATTAGTGGTGCTACACGGAGGTGGGGATTGAACATGAAGCTGCAATTGCAACCAGGGGGGCGACAGGTAGACGACGCAACGCCCTTCGGAACATAAAGATGTAGAAGATCTGATGCAGCGTAAAATCTAATGGTGTGCATGCAGAGCATGCATTGATTCGTGGACGCCTCCTCCTGTATCATATGCCTTACCAACAAGAAGAGAGAGAGAGAGAGAGAGAGAGACCCAAGGAAGTGTACTGTGCATGTTGGGAAGAAGCTTCGTGGGAGACGGAAGCGTTGACTGAAATTACGATGGCCGGTGATAAGACCACGTTAGTACGCGTTGACTGAGACACCGTTGGCCGATGATAAGACCACGTTAGTACATATGGACTCTGAAAGTCGAGGTCAACCTGCATTGACCTCTATGTGGATGAAGATTCAAAGCAATATATAGATAAAATTCAAATCATAGAAACATCTACCTATCCATTTACGTGGACGAAGATTTAAGACAATAAATAGATGAGATCAAAGTTATCCTCCACCATAAGTAAAGACAGACAAATGAAGATTCAAAATACATGTTTCTTTCTTATTCATTATGATAAAGAAGACAATCACAAATTTTATTTTATTTTTATAACAAGGAGGATAATTTCAAGCTTTCTTCTCATCTATTAAAATAAAAAAAAATTATTCTGAACAAGAGAACTTTCTCTCTTTTTTTAGAACTAATCGAATCTACATTTTGACGATCTCACATTAAGATTTATGTTAACTTTATAAATACTTTATTATGTTTGACTATGTTTCAAGGATTAGATTTGAAGGATATTATTGAAATATATTCTTTTGAGATAAATGATGTAATTTTATACTCTAAACGAAGAAAGAATTGTTAAGCTTTTTCTTCTTTTTTATTTTTTGCCTTTTAATTCAATCTTTTCACGTGATGTCATGCTTTATATATAAATAAAGAATCAAAGAGATGTGGAAGGGCAAAAGAAGGCTCCTTCTCTTTTTCTTCATCTGTTGCATCAGAATTTGCATGGTGAGTTTGGGATCCTTCTCTTTTTCTTTGGGGGTTGGGGGGGGGGGGGTTTAATTTCTTTTTCCTTCACAACATTTATTTTGGTAGGATGAATGTAACCCCACAAGTAAATGATTTCGTCTCTTTAATTGAAATTGGGGTCAATTGAGGTTTAGTTGTGCTTTGTCATCACATATCCGACTCTCTAACATCGTCGCAAGACATTTAGTGAGTGTCCTTTCTGTCTCTCTTACCAAAAACACTTTCCCTTTGAAGAGAAGACCAGCTTTAGATGCGATGAAAGTGATGTGACCTTATGTTCTTCTCATTGCATTGCAATCATAAATACTTGTCGTGGAAAACCATCTTGCTATCAGTGACACACAGTTGGCTTCATTAAGACTTGATAGCGCTGTGGGGGGAGTAGGGAAGTCCTTTACTCATGTGATTTGTTTGGCCATGCCATTTACATGTCTCACACAAGCCTGCCTACTAAAGGCTAAAGCTAGTGGAGTGGATGAACATGAGTTGCTTTTTATGTCCATTTCAGCATTCAAATCAATCACATGTTCATATCCTCCATTGTGCTTTCAACTTTTGGATCTTAGTTTGACCAAAGTGATGGGATTTTCTCCATTTAGATTAATCACCTCCAATGGATTAGTTGATTGGATGTATAAGCCAACATCATGGTTTAAGTCTTGAAAATTATTAATCCAAATATAAAGAAATTAAGATTCATGCATTGACCCTCCTCCAAACAGATGCCAAGCTTATCCTTTCATTACATGAGTCAATATAGAATATAGAACATGAAGAGAATCACATGACTTGAAATCTGATCACTTAAAATCACAAAGAAAGTGATGTTATCATGACATCAAAACTACCCCACTTTTATTTGATAAACCCTCTCAAGTTAAGCCTTTAAAAATAATGCAAAGAATAAAAAACAAATAATTTCATCATCCTTTCTCCTCCATATTCACATCAAAGCAGAGCTGGAATGTTCATTTCATACTTCAGGCTACCCAGCAATGATAAAAGATAGCTACCAATTCCAGTCAAGGAGAAAATAAGGTGCGGCGTATAATTAAAATTACCCACATAATTCAGTATGAAATTTTTTGCATCACTCGCGAAATCAATTTTCTGAAATGGTATAAAAAATATCGAATATACAAGAAAAATAAATGAACATATGCACACAAACATGAATTAATTGTCGTGGCAAGGATATTTTAATCTCTTATGTACAGTTCAAGAAATTCACAAACACATGGACAACTGGACTTAGTCCGGGAAATAGACAGAAAAAAACAAAGAAGATCAAAGACATGTACAACTTGTTAGCAATTCGCCTACCAGCAGATTGACCTTGATCTTGCCTGTACACTTCAACATTATTTCTTTACATCATTTACAAGAAACAGGGTTTAAGCCTCTGTTTCCTTCAATTGCAATATGATGCTTTGGTGCATCCATGGCTTCAAAAGTGGATGCACCTGCAATTTCTCCCTCACCATATCTTACACTTAAATACCTATGCATAAATTAGTATTCACAGATAAATGGCTGCTGTGGAAGAATGCTATTCTTTCAACACAGTTCCAGGTAAGGTGCTTTTCTCGGACTTCCCACTTGGACTGCTTCCTTGTGGACTTTCAGGCGAGACCCCCACCGAAACAGCCCCATCTTCTTGTTGTATGTGCAGACTACTTGATGGAAAGAGTTCCTGCAAAACCTTCTAATTTATTTGCGATCATCTCCAAGATACTGGAAATAAATAATTCAAAGATTGCTTGACAAAGAAAACACTCGAAGCATGCGGATGCATTTTAGAAGCTGTCTCAGTTTTTTAGAGACAAAATAGCAACAGGGCATAGATATTTCAGTAGAAGTCTGCTCAGCAAAGATTCAAACTAAAAATGTTAGAAATCAATTAATCCCATCATTTAGATGAAGTGAACACAAGAATAAACACTTTATATTCTCCAGAAAATTGTCAGCTCAACAAATATAATAAAATAATTAATCATATTCAGAACCATTTGGGATCAATTTATTTATTTGGAACCATGAGATTCAATGAATAAGAGAACTAAAGAGAAGTCAAAATATAGAAACATGGGGTTAAAACATTTTTTTCCCATGTCTGCCTGTGTGGACACACATGCATACAACTATACCTTGACAGCTCCGATGCAAACAACTTCTATGAAGTCAAAAACAAAAGATTAATTCTGGCCTTTGCATGTGCATAATTATATATCTCACAGGCAATTCAAGTACAATTTAATGCAGTGACATCATGCATTCAGCACAATATATTGCTCACCAGAAAAAAAGAAAAAGAAAAAGCACATTTTGGTATTAATGCCCAGGACATCCACCTAATTCATGAAATACATTACGGTGAACCTTAAGAATTTTTTAAGCTAAACACAGGTATGGGGCTTTATTAAATAGTAGCATTGAGCCTTAGTTAGGAGCTTTAAGAAATCTATAATGCCTATCAAACCATATGATTCCGGCTTGCATACATCCAACACATGAAACTACCTTTTTGTATAATCCCAGGAAAATTTTCATCTTTTACCTCATTGCCAGTATCTGCTCCCTCAGGATCAAAAAGAATAGGTCGGCATCTCTTATCTTCATTCATCAAGCTTGAGTTTTGGAAGTGGGCAACAAGTGCTGATCTACCCTGGATTCGTGCATATGCCAGAGAAGCAACCTTCTCACTGTTAAACTTCTCCCATTTCTTTCCGTTAAATGCCTGTACATGTATACAGATGTTTAGTGAAGCTCTCCAACTTATATGATCTTTTGGTAAGCCTAGTTTACACATACTTCCTCTCAGACCTATAAGCATTTAAGAAAGTAGTCATAACTAGAATTGTGTCAGCAAATAAATTACAGAACAAAACCTTGTAAAATGAGACCACGTGTGAAGGAGACGACATGTTTATAAATGCATAACCCACATTGCATTTATTCTGCACAGAGTCAAACATTTGTGTTAGTTGAGGGTACTATTGCCAAACCATTATATTGAATTTTTGCAAGCTACCTTAAAATCAATTGGCAAGTACAGAAAATCATAAGTGCCACTGTGAGTTTCATCTATTGCAGCCAAAAGCATCTTCGAGGTGTACCTAGAGACCAATTAAAAGACATTCAGTTTGCATTTCTGTATGCTTGACAAAGAAGCATAGTATTGTAATAGTTTGAAATTATACTTATTTGGAATATTTTTTATCATTATTGTTGTTCGAGTGTCTTCCCCCTTGATAATTTTGTCCAAATCAAGCTGATACTGCTGCTTGTCTGCTTGACTCCCGTGGTTGTCAACTCGTCGACTGCGGTGCCAATCAACTAGACCATCAATGCCTATGGAACTTAGTGCAGGATATGGAGCATTGCCAAAGAGAGTAGGCCCAGATCTGTGAGCAGACATCATTCTCACATTGGGTGAATTATTATCTGACATGCTTCCTGATATGATGCCTTGGTTCAGTGTGGGGTGAGGAGTCATATTCATAAGTCCAGTCCCACCTTTTCGGTTAAACCCAATATTACCAAGTGCAAACTGGTTCATGAAGGATGGCTCCGCTGACTCGGGAAAATACCCATACTGCCTCTGAAAAGGAACAACAGATGGAGCTGATCCGACATGATGGGGATTCTGATTGTGTGATGACCTAAGGAATGAGCCATGACTGCTTGAATAGAGAAAGCTTTGACCTTGTCCTTGACCATTTGACATGAATGAACTTCCTGTAGGTAGAGGTTGCCATACAGACGACTGTGTATTCTCCGGGTAAGAAGTCAATTTACCCCAGAGGAACTGTGGGCCAGTCAGAGTTCCAACACCAGATGAATTTGGAGTTGAAGAACCAAAAGAAGCTAAGTTTCCTGAAGCCGACGTCATCACTCCACAACTATGATCTGGGAAGGAATGAGAATGATACCCACCTCCATGTAAAAGACTGCTTCTAGAGATTATATGGTCAGCATGATTCAACCTAGTTTGGTCCTTGCCGATTGGTGCAATCTTGACAGAAGTTGACAACATCGGAGGAAATACAGAACCTAATCCAGGCAAATGGTCATTTACGATAGGGCTCATTGCTAACCCATTCTGGGACTGGCTAAAAACTTGTAGTGGGATGTTATCATTTGGACTACTGAAGTGAGCCCATGGACCTGCCATTGAAAAGGTATCCAGTATAATCAATAAATGGCAACTTTAAAATATGAGCGAAGAGTTCCAACAAAGACTAGAGATAAACACCAACAAAATTCATCTCAGGGCATGCATTAGAAGCTATACCTGGAGGTGAATTGTTAATAGGTGAGCCTCCATGATGCAGATAAACTCTTGTTTCATCTTGCTCCAATTCATGAGTCAGATGTTGCATCAAGCTGTTTAGAAGATTGAGGATTTAGCATTTCGGTAGAAGAATAAGAGTTCCAAACAGATATTTAACTGAAAACTATACAGGATAGTAAGCAAATAGCAAATAATCTAACTAATAGTTTCAGGTAGAAGACAAATTATGATTTTTGTCAAACTTCAATAAAATAAAATCATTTTAGAAGTTAAATCGATTGGTCTAGAGCAAGGATTAAAATAAAATCTTCTCCCCAGGCGGGGCAACGTCGCTGAGGTGATGTCGTAGAAAAATGAGGCATCATCGCCTTTATATATATACATAATATTATATATATATACATAATATTATATATATATACATAATATTATATATATATATATATATATATATATATATATAAATGTGCGACATTGCCTCTATATATATATATAATCTATTTATTTATATATATATTTATTTATATATAAACAAATTAAAAAAATATGCAACGTCACCTTATATATATATATATATATATATATAATTATAATTTATAAATAAAAAAAATACCGCTCGGTAGCGAGCGGTCCACGTACCGATTTATTGTCGGACCGGTACGTACCGCCCATACCGGGCGGTATCATTCGAAACTGTATACCTTGGTCTAGAGTAACTTGTCACTCAAAGGTTTTCAGGCAATAAACAATGATTGAGATATCATTAACCACAAACAATGGTTGAGACTGTGCTTCCCCATGCATGTCAAGCTTAAAGTTAAGATCATGAAAACAGAAGTTTAAAGTTTAAACGAATCCAAACTAAAGAACATTAAGTTAATATGCAATCAAAGTAAGAAAAACTACAGCCTGGTATAATATTTCTCTTTCAAAGTAAAATATATGCAAAAATTAAAATCATGTATATACTTCCTCCGAGCTCCACCAGGGCGGCTAGGTTCTAACTTTATTCGCTTCCCAGCTATATCACTTTTGTTCAAAGACCGAAGGGCAGCTTCTGCTGCTCTGACATCAAAGAACTCAATAAATTTGTGGTGTTGCTTGTGAGGAGTTTCCCTTATCTGCATCATTTATTCACCAACATTTTTGCATAAGCCTTATGGGAATTAATTTTTTGGATAAAAGATATGAAAGGAAAAAAATTAAAAGATTCCCACCTCTTTAACTTCTCCATATGCACCAAATATTTGCCTAAGGTCATCATTAGAAACCGAAGGATCCAAATTAAAAATCACAAGAGTTCCTTGGTTCATATCCTTGTCTGAGGGGTTATCCTGAAAATTAGTAGACGAAACAATGAACAAGTGATGGAAAACAAAAAAGGGTTACAGATAATAATATAGGATGAGAAAGGAAGATAATCTGTCAAACCTTTGGAATTGAAAAATGGATGTCAAGCTTTCTGCGTCTTAAGGGCTTGTTCTGTAAGGCACGCATGGCAGTTCGAGCAGATCGAATATCATAGTAAGATATCATCACAAATCCCCTGTGTTTGCATGCAGTATAAAGACTGCGGATTTCCCCATATTGCTAAAAGGAGGTGGAAAAAAAATAAAACATCAGAAACAGTGCCCAGAAAGACAACTAGCATGTTCACAAACCAGTCAAACTACAGGCATATGCATGAAAACAGACAACATATTACACAATCCCATGCACGGACATGAAAAGGTACATGATTTTCAATTCTTTCAAGGAATAAACCATGTTAAAAAATTCTTTAATTGATTAAGCAAACATGTTTCAGACCAAAATATGACACTTTCATGTCTTTGGCCACAAATCTCTATCTGACAATCCCCTAACACACTGCATGAATCCACTAACAATGCACTGTCAAAACCCAGAACAACATCCATTGGAGTCTTTACATTAAAAAAATTTTGAGGGACAAGGATTCAAATCTCGGACCGCATCAATCTTGGTCACCTATTGGATAGGTACAGTATCAATATATTAGTCAGTATACTATACCTGCCCAATATCATTAAATAAAATAATAAAAAAATAATATCATCCTGGTGTTGAGCTATATGCTTTGGTATCTGGTTCTTGATCGGACCAATAATTACAATTCATACCATCAAGATTTAAAACCTTATAAAGAATAAGAAAAACACCATTTTACATTTATTTCGTTTTGGTTACTTGCATGACTTAGATGCTTTTAATCAAATATTCAAATATTTCCTTAGATTTAATATAATGTCATACTTGGAAGCATTCTTAAAACACTATTAACCTCATAGGCTGTGACATGCTCTTGTTTTTTTTTTACACATATTCTAAAATCTGCAGTTCGATTGCATTTCATCCTGCTATTTGCATTACATCTAGTTATTTTACTATGGTCATGAAGCATCTCAGATTTAGGCATCTTTAGGTACATCTACTTGGTTGTCTTGTATCAAATATCAACTGCCAGGCTCCAGTGAATAAATAAGAGAAAAAAAAACCAAAAGTCAAATTTGGGAAGATAATGCTTCAGTGATCACTCAAAAGCTCTTAAGAGGTTATTACAAAGACGAGGAAACTTGATGCAGCAATTCTAGGCACAGCCTACACTGAAGCGGTCTTGTTAGGTTGAGACAAGTTTCTTATGGGTTAATTTATCTCTGTATTTTCTATTTAATTTATTTTTTGTGTTTCTTTTCATTTGCCATACTACAGTTAAATTTGAAATCTAACTAAATTAGCAAGCCAAAACTTGGTCTGCAATACCCCACACAAACACATCCCTATTCAGCAGCCCCTAAATCATATACAAGATAGTTTTTTTTAAAAAATTCCAACTTCATCCAAAAGAAGGTTCAGCTGAAAGGGAGAAAGATAGGTATTATTAATCGATAAATGTCAAGATGGAATCAATCTTCAATATAGTTAAACACCAAAAATATGAAGAATGTCATAGTATATCATTTTATCATATAATGCAGATAAATCTAACAGAAAAAATATGAATTAGTTTTCAGCGTGCCTATAAAATTGATTTCAGTATTTTGTTATCAAGGTTTCTCCCTGCATTCCGAAAATCAAGTTTTCCTTCAGAAGCTGCATATAGTAGCTATAGCTACAAGGATAAAGACAACAAATGTAGCCTTTCCTATCAAACATCAGATATAAGGGGAAAATGTTATTTTCTTTGAACTAATAAATTTTGGTAGAACAACACATATTTGCTTAATCATTTTATTTGTGCAAAGATCTTGAGCATACAAATACAAGTAAGAGTTTTTTTCAGTATTAAAAGTCTCTGCAGCATGAACAAATATTATTGGTAATTTTCTAAAATCAGAGAATATAATTTAGTAACAATAGTGATGATATTTGACAATAAGCTTACCACAAGGCTATAAAAATGGTACAGCTATTCCTATCACATGTTAACCCAAGCCAAGAGCTACTTTGTTCAACAATTATGTGTGACAAGTGATAACTTCTACCAGCCAATCTAAAGATCAATTTTTAATAAAAATCCTTCCATAGCAATGCTCAAATGTTAAATGATAAACCTATTATACTTTTATTATGTTCATGTACGTTAATAAGGAAAATTAGTTCTACTAATCCTTTTAGCTGAAGAGTAGCTGACACATAGTAAAAGTACTTCCATGTTGGTACCGCTAAAACAATCAGGAAACTACTTGCAAGCTCTATATAAGCCTAAGCAGATTTAAAGCAAAAAAAAAATATTACACTATAAATTTGCAAATAGTTGTTTACCTCAAAGAGTAACTGCAATTCAGAGTCTTCCACATTACTATTAATGTTCCTCACAAACAAAGTTCTCGAAGGATGCTCTCCATATGGGTGCTCTCCTGAAACTGCCCCAACACTATTCGGAAGACTGTACTGACCAATCCCATTGCCTAAAAAGCCATCAGACATGCTCGCCTTTGCCATACCAACTGTAATACTCTCTGTAGGATCAGAATCCAATTCCATACCCCCTAAATTGCCAAAAAGATCATAATCCTCCAACTCATCAACTTTACCAGGCAACCCACTAAGGTCAAAATCATCCATAATGCCAGACAAAAGTGCTTCTTCATCATCAGGTAACAAAAGCCCCATTCCTTGGAGTTTGAAATCATCCACACGAACCTTACCCTCCACATCTTTGCTTAGCTTTTTCAATTTAGAAGATGCATCAACAGTTGAGTGAACACCACCGAGTGTATCCGAAAAGTTTACTAAATGACAGCATAGCACTGATAACGTCAAATATCCGATCTAATGATAACTATCAGCAAGCTAGTTAACATAAAAAATACAACATACATTTCTCATGACGAAGGACCGGCAATGAGCTAGAGAAAAGGCCAACGTCATTTGATCCATAAAGAACATCGGAACCAGAAGGAATTTCAGGAGCATTATCAACCTTCTCCAGTGTGTTCACTGAATCAGTATTTAAAGAACCTGTGATATAGGGTCAGACATAAGCATATAATCAGTTTCTGATGAAAGAACCTTCTCTTCCAACCTGGACAAGCATAGCACCATTTTGACTTACGGATTGGAACTGAATTCCTCAAAGTCAGATCCATTGTGCTTCCTCTAAACTCTAAAGTGTCCTGAAGAAAGGCAGATAGTCAGAGAGAAGACAAATGCAAAAGACACATACAAACACAGAGAGTGTGATGCGACACAGTTCTTATACAACAATTTTCTGAGCCGGAAAGGATACAACTAAGGGACCATGAAAAAAATAAAAAACTGCCGCCTTCCAAATGGTTTGCTTCAACACATGGATATTTCATTCTTCTTTCATGAATGATCTTGTTAGATCCTTCGATCATAAAGAATAAAAAGAAATAACACGACAAAAATTGACCAATGCGACACAACCACAGGAATATACCACACTTAACGCTACCTGATTGTGTCCCTGTTTACCGAACTCCACAAAGCCATGTACAACAAAAAAACCGAATTCCAACATCCGTAGACAGCATCGACAATCAAATATAACAAGAAAGAGTAGTTCACCAAGTACACAGTAATCATAAGTGGAAAAAATGATGGATTTTGACAATATACCCAACGTTTGTCAAGCATGGACCCATAAATTATAGTGCAACCTTATTCAATCAGCAAAAGGTAAGGAGGATCCAGCTAGGATTATAGACGAGCTAAAAGGGAGAATTCAAATTGAAACATAATTACACTATACCGATGCAAATAGACACCAAATAACAAAGAGGGAACATCTCTAATGATGCCCAACTCTACCTCTATTTCGCCTCCCGAGCAACAAAAGATCCAACTTTCCAACACATCACACGCGAAATCCAAGTTAAATTTCGTAACAAAGACGGAACAGGTGGTTACCAAGAGAAAAACTCAGATTCGCATCGGGGACACCCTCGATTCACCCCAAACCGGAACCAGCGCCCAGAATTCACTCCCGCAAAACTCCCCCGATCCCTCCCGGAGATCCGCCCTAACAGGCCGAAATCACGAGCAGAGCCCAAGGAAGAGAGCCCGTTGCTCCTCTCGGGGCGCGGGGGCTGCGTCGTCCCTCCTCCCGTCGGCACACACATAAAGGGTGGGTGGGATGATGGGAGGAGTAAAGAAGTGAGAGCGATGGCGAGACAGATTTTATTTACTTATTTATTTATTTTATCTAAAATTAGCCGTATTTGAATGGAATTTGGCGTCCGAGCCTTTTTGTGTTAATAATAGTAATGCTATATATTAACCAAAGAAAATTACTTGTTTATATATTTATACGACGGATATAATAGAATAGAACAAACACTGTGTCGTGGATAGTGAGTGCACGTCATCACCACTGATGAGTTGGTGGGTGTTTCCTGGTTGTAACACACTGCTTGTGGACGTCGCAATGTGATTGATGCGCGGTACAATAATACCATCAATATTGATGATATTAATATAAATGGGTTGGGCACAGAGTAACACGCAAACATCGACATTTTCTATGACGTGGCAACAAAAGCGAACGAAAGCATATCGACTGCTTTGGAAATATATTTATTTTTTTAATATACAATTAAAAATTAAATGAATATCTAAAATTATATTTTAAATATATATATTCATGTAATCTTATTGAAAATTTTATATGACCCAAATATATAATAAATAAATAAATAAATATAATCATATAAATAATTTGGTGAGCAGTAATAAGATTATTGTGTGATAAGATTAATTACCAGTAATTTTAAAACATAATTAGGTTTTAAAATGGGTAAAATATAATTCGATAGTTACGTCTGCACAGTTTGGGAGGGATATACACGTAATTTTGGAAGATGGAATCACCGTCATGAAAGCCTGACCTAATCGAATGTGCATAAAAAGAAGAGGAGAATAGAATGGAGAGAAGAAAGACGACTCACGGAGTGTCGGCAGGCGTGGCTGCGACCAGAAGCACTGCGTCGAGAGAAGAGGAGGAGGCCGCGGGTGGTCGATGATGACGGGCGGAGTCGTTCTGGCGGTGGCGCTCGCGCTGCTGCTCTGTGGCGCGTCGGAGGCGTGGACCGGTGAGATCCGCGGGAGGGTGGTGTGCGATGTGTGCGGGGATGCCTCCGTCGGACCCGAGGATCACGTCTTACAAGGTCGATGTCTCCTTTCCTCCCTCTTTTTCTTCTTCTTCTTGTGAACAATACGCTCGTTTCTTTAGCCTTATCATTTCTTGATATCAAGCGAACGCCTTTCTTGGGTCACTTAAAAGAATACTCTTCTTTTTAGGGTTTTGATATGATCGGTGAATGTAAGAAATTGCATGGTGAAAATGTCATGGAGTTATGCGAAACTATAAATAAATAAATACTAAATATCCCCCCCCACCAACGCGATTTCTTTATAGACTGCGGATGGTGTGGTGATCAGAACGTAAAATATGCTTGTGAGGTTATATCTTGTCGAACTGCTTAAGGATTGATTAGACCATGAATGGGTCTTTTACTACACCTGAATAATCAAAGTAGGTCGTCTACGAATTTTGGGTGAGGTTTGTGTGTCAGGAACTGAACCTTGTAAGATAACTGACTCATGACGTTGTTGAGCTTGAATCTTTGACCTAAAATGATTAAAATTTAGGTTAATGGTAATACACTAATTAAGCTCTCATAAGATAACTTCAAATCTTCTCTTATTTTCGACATAATAATAAACTAGGATATTACGATCTCTACACTTTAATAATGGTAGATCTTTTCTCCATGATCATGAAATACCTCGCCTATTTTAGGGTTTTGATGAAGGTTACAGTACACATCTTTCATGACTACATTCATAGATTTGTAACATATCAAATTTACCATGAATCTTCTCATTTTCATGACTTTTTGTTTTTTTTTTTTCAATTTCACTTTATCATGGTGCTAAAAACCGTTTATTTCTCCTAAAGTTCTGATGAGGTTACACTTCTATGGAGCCATATGTTCATGCAAGAGACACTTCAATCCTCTCTCTAATCAAGTTGATCTTCTATTGACACCCTTTAAACTTAATTCACTTCCCTCATGCCTTTCAATTAATGCATTCAATGTATGATGAAACTGAATTAAATTTAAAGGGTGTTACGAAAGAATAAACTTAATTAGAGAGGGAATTGTTACCTTTACCATGATAAAAAAGAACATGAAGAACTTATATAAGTCATGAAGATGAAGGGACATATAATAAATTCGATAGATTACAAATCTATTAATGTAATATCTATTGTAACTTCTATTTAACCTCTACATAGGTGGGATGTTTCATGATCAAGAGTGGTCAAGAAAAAAAATCTCGAGTGTAAAATTGTGTCGAGAGAATGAGAAATAAAATTTCTTATTTGCTCCTTCCACCAAGTTTCGCACTACTCTCTATCTATCTATCCTTTCTTTTCTTCTCATCTCAACCATCTCTATCAAGCTCATAGACTAACTTAAATCTTCTCGAACTTTCAATGTGGTATCAAACTAGGATATTATAATCTCCACGCTTAAGGAGGAAAAAAAATAAAGTCCTTGCATGATACATGTGACGATAGTTCAGTGGTTGCCCCACGTCATGATTTGCCTCTGTCTTGGTGGCCCTTTCCTACTTGTGTCCCCATTATGCCTAATACTATGTCGATTCTGATATCATTTGTTACGAACAAACTCGATGGAATCATTGACTTTTGGTATGAACCGTCGAACCAAGATGCTTAAACACAAGGTAGTGTTAGTATACCCATCAAAACCTAATAAACTAACCCAAAATCTTCTTCCACCTTCAATGTGGTACTAAGCTGGAGTAATCCGGTTGGTCCTAAAATGATAAATTTTGTATCGTTGCTGGATGGACACATCAACTGATGCTAAAGAAAAACAATCTTTTTAAGTTTTGGTAGAAGATATTATGTGCCAAAAAGTTGTTTGTCATATAGTCCCTAAAACTGCCATGAAGTTTCTTCTGTTGAGTGATCTTGAGCAGATTAAAAACAATGCTCAAGATTCTATCCGAGCAACATAAACATCTCAGGATTTGTCCTATGAATTATCATAGTTTCCTGCAATATTGACCATGAATTTTATAATTAGTTAATCTGTTGCATTCCTTTATTTGAAATATTATCTGGCTTAGAAGCTTATTTGTGAACTTGATCTGAGCTAACAAGGTGCATAGTTTTTCCTTTCAGGTGCTGAAGTGGCTGTTCTTTGCATAACCAAGTCAGGTGACGTTTTGAATTATCAGGCCTTCACAAACTTGAAAGGCATTTATAAAGTGGCAGAGACGATGCCTGAGAGTGATCGCTGGGTGTCATGCTTGGCAAGGCCTGTAAGTAGCTTCCATGAACATTGCACGCAAAGGGGAGATGCTCACTCTGGAATAAAATTCTCTTATAATCGGCCATCAGGACATTCCCACACTGTCAAACCATTCCTGTATAAGCCTGCCTCGACCCCATTGTATTGCAGTTGAATGATATGTTGTTTGCACAAGAACGTAATGCTTCTAGTCATGCATGTCATCTGGAAAGGGCAATAAACCGAGGTGTATATAAATTATAACGTGATAATTGCTAAATCAGTCATTTGCATTTCTTCGTTACGATGTTGGTAACGCCATTGCATAGATACCTTGAACAGCTGAATCTGAAGAACAACCAGGTGAGAGCACTGAATGCCAGCAAGCAGTTGTCCTTCTAGGTGGCTATGTTCGGTTAAACGAATTCTTGACACTGATGTTAGGGAAGATTTTAAAGGGGAATTGTGGTCCTAGCTGTTTGAAGTTTATGACTTTTACCGATGTTAATTCACAGTTCTTATTGGTTGTGGTGCTACATTTCGGCAGCTGCTCCGTCCACATTTTTTACACCTCGGTTGTGGTTGTTGTCTGCATATTTGTTCCTCGCTTGTTAACTATTGTGTGGTAGCTAGCATATTAGGAATCCTAACTGTGGAAACTTTTACTTCTATAAATAGCCACATTGAGTTATATATCCCCTGTCACTGGCTTCACCCACTCTTAGGTTCTGCAGTTTCCAACAACTATGGTCAGTAGGGTATATCACTATATTCATATGATCACATCTTAATGTAAACATCACACATTAATAATGTCATGAATTCAAAGAAGAAAGCAGAAACATTTTCTGGTATAATCAGGAATAAGATACAGCCATTCACAGAAAATATAGAACAAAAGAAATGCAAAAAAGATGAGAAGGCTGTCGTGTTCATTATTTTCAGCAAGCAAAACACTTAAGTTGATGAATGCACAACTATAATGGAAAAATGTCCCATGCCAGCAAAAGTTTGCGTGTGTTAAAAACAAATAAGCAGCTTAAATGTAATGCACTTAAAATAAGACATTGCACGGTTAGGAATAAGGTTAACAATATACACATGCGTATACATAGTGTGAAAGTCACCAGAACACATGGAATTTGAAGGCGTTGAGGATTAGAGGAATGAGTGCCAGAACCGCCTGCAAGAACAAATATAGTCGAAAATACTAAGGTGAGTAACCCAATAACAGCACTATGACTTAGCAGAAACACCAATAGATGTTAGTTTAATAGAAACTAGGCAGGAGTGGGCCAAGTCTAATGCTCGTACAAACTTCCACTTATATATATCAATTGCTTTAACTATGTCTCGAAATCTTGGTTCCAGCATACTTCAGTTTTGGCTATTCAAAACCAAAGCCATGATGCTAGAAAAAACAATGTAATGTAATTAGCATTTTTCGTTCTGTAAGAGAAAATTTGGTAGAACAACCAAACAACTGCCTTTACTTCTTTGTTGATACTATAAATTATCATCCTCAACATTTTCATTATACAAGTATTAAGTGCAACTTCCTTTCTTTGTGTAAGCTAAAATGATACTTAAATGGGCTTCAACTTCAAAATCTTTCAATACATGAAACAATGCATATTACAATAGGTGATACTTCGGAACACAATGTGTCGGGTAGCCTAATGCCAAGTCATCATGTGTTTTGAGTGTTCTGCCATGGCAATACTAGGCACAAATTAGCATGACTGTAGAAATCAAAGAGTATACTAGAGAAAGGTTGTAGCTGCCACAACCATGCTTTACGCTTAGTGGATGGCACAAAATCAAGCGATGAAGGACCATGGAGGAGGTAGTAGAGAAAGGAGGAGGAAATTGACTAGGGAGATGAATTTGTTGCACCTGTATAGTTTGATCCAAGCCTAGGCTAAGGCAAACAAGGGGACAAGAATTGGGGTAGATGAAAAAGAGAGGGAGAAGAGAAGAGATGAATAGGATTAACATGATTAAGTATTAAGGTTCATCATTTGACCCGTCAGCAGAATATTGGAACTCAATAGTAGAAGCTAGGGCAGCATAACTAAATTAGATCTGACTCATTAGGATCAGGGTTCCTTCCTATTGATCTGAAAGTACTCAAATACAAGGAAAATGGTTTAATTCTAGAGCTAAAAATTGATGCAAATTAAATTGGTAAAGCAAGATAGTTAAATATGGAAATTTTGCTTAGAGAAAAAAACTCAGCATAGCATTAATCAAGCATACTAACTCTAGATTAGAGGTTTTGTTAGTTTCAGCGGAATAAGAAAAATCGACACCAAATTTTAATGAAATTGATAATATCCAAAATAACCTTGAGATAATTGGATGATCTATACAAAAGTTATAAGCAGACAACGTAGATTCATTCAACATACAAAAATATAAGAAAAAAAAACTATGTTATTCCAAGTGTAGATGTATTAGATACTTACAGCAACTGTACATGCAACCAGTCTTGGTTTCTCTCTGTAGTCTGTAGCAACAAAGAGCAGAATGAAAACACCAACATACCACGGAATTGAAGCAAGGAAAAAACCTGACACGAACCTTTAAAAGAAATGTAAGCCATTTTAAAATAGACATACAAGGTTGAGAAAATGCAGTAAAGCCACACACAGAAAGTGACGCTGCACACAAAGAGATTCCATGACTCATTAGCAAGCTAAAACATCTAAAGTCCAATAGTTAGTACAAATTACACAATTATTCTGTCCTTGCTAGAATTAAAAAGAGAAATACATATCTCCAAATAAAACAATATTGGGGCTTTTAGTAGGGTTTGTAAGTCAATAGTAAATGCATATCATCGGTTGTTATGGAACTGATCGCACATCATAGGCCAGAACATAACCAAATAGTGAAAAATTATGGTTTTGTCTGCTACAGTTGTAAACCATGGCAATCGGCAGCCAATGGCCTTTTTTCATTTCTCCCGCTTCTCTTTCCTTTTTTCTGGATAAATAATTGACAAAAAATGAACAAAATTAATTGACCTTGGATGAGTTTATTGCTAATAGCAATTTTGACCAGATTCTAGCAAAAAGGCCAGAAGTCAACTGAAATTGGACTGGCCTCCGGAGTAACTAATACAGACTAAGCCTATGATATTGTATGCTATCAAAATTGTCCAATACCACAAACTATGTGACTTATAAATATTGTCGCTTCCTAAGTCCCATATTCATATCATAATAATACTTTCACTTTCTTGATTTAACAAATATTACAAATTCCTCCAAAGATATCTCATCCACATACTTCCAACTACGCTTGTCAATAGATTGGATCAAATATGACCCACTCCAAAACAATTTATGGCAAATGAAGATTCAACATTTTGACTTGATAATCCTGTCAGTATTTGAACCAGATAATTCATAATTCTATCAATGTCTAAATTAGATATTAAACAACTTGGAGCTCTGATTCTTGATCAGATAGTGGATGGATCAACTTTTTAGGTCTGATTTCTAATTTAATCTCTCAACACCTTTTTTTACTTCCTTTTTTCTTCCATTTGTAATTTTCTCAATAAATGTATTCTAAATTTGCTTAATCTTCACTTTGTTGTTGCCTCATTATATATACAATAAATTTGTTTAATCTTGGTCTCAACCATCTGTGTTGTACCAGAATGGTGTTGTATGTGCCACACACCAACCCATGCCATAGGTTCCAACATATGACAAGGTCAAGGAGAAATGAGGTAGAAGTCAAAGAAAATAGAATGTAGCCCTTGTTACATCTGCAGTGATGTAGTGTTATGTATGGCATATGATAAGGTCCAGATTCAAATCCAAGACAAAGGCATACAGAATGGTGAAAACCACCAAGCAAAGTTTCACGGTATAATTCTTTTGGAGAAAGAATATGTTAAATGGTAACGATCTTACACACCAGAAAGCATCATTTATTCAGCAATCGAAGTGTCTCATCACTATTTTGGCATTAAGAAAAAAACATTATTCCACAAATTGAACAGTCCATCATCACAGACTAGAGATATGGCCTACCAATATATGAAACTTCTAGTCTTCTAAGATCGCATCACAGAAGCACATCTTTGGCATATTTTAGCATATTGCAGTCATCGTACTTCCACATCAATAATTTGGGCTAATTATATATTACCCTTTGTAGTTAGACCTCTTTAGTATCTCAGTCCCTGGACTCAAAAAATTTACATTAGAATCCCTGTAATTACAAATGTGAAATATTTAACTCTATTTACCCTAATGTTATCGGCTTTACCGATGGAAGATATATCACATGTAGGAATGACACGAAAACGACGGACAAAAAAGTAATTTCAACGTCTCAGTTATGTTTTCTTTTGTTATGCCCTAATCAAAACTTCTTAATCGACTATTGTGGTGGTGGCGAACGACAACACCGTCGAGGGCCATGGGTGGTTGTTGTGGTGGTGGTCGACGAGAACGACGCGATGGTCGACCTTACCGATGCCGATCCGAACGTCAATGTCCGAGGCGGGGACGGCGATTTGATGATGGTAGTGGTGGATCTTAGGGTTGTGAGGCGGAAGAGGAAGGAGAACGACGACGAGAGGTGATGCAAAGGGAGAGGAGGAAGAGGACGAGGACAATAGTGTCGACGCGATCATCGTGCTCGTGACACTATCATCCGTTGAGGGAGGAGGAAGAGGAGGGAGAGCGACGACAGGAGGTGAGGTAAAGAGAGATGAGGGAGAGTGGCTATCTCCTATCCCTTTGCCTCACCTCCTGCCGTCACTCTCCCTCCTCCGCCCGCAAGAGGAGGGAGAGTGACAACGACGTTATCTCCGGCTTCTGCGGCTTCTTATAGAGGGAGGAGGACGAGGAGGGAGAGTGACGGAGGGAGGTGAGGCAAAGGGAGATGAGAGAGTCGCTCTCCCTCCTCTCCCTTTGCCTCACCTCCCATCGTTGCTCTCCCTCCTCTTCCTCCTCCTCCTCCGACAAGAAGCTACAAAAGCCAGAGATAGCGCCACCACTACTCTCCCTCCTCTTCCTCCTCCTCCCTCATGGGATGATAGTGTCACGAGGACAATGGCCGCGCCGATGCTATCTCCTGTGACACTAACGTCCTCTTGCTTCTCTCCCTTTGCATCACCTCCCGCCGTTGCTCTCTCTCCTCTTTCTCCTTACAACCCCAAGATCCACCACCACCATCGTCAAACCGTCGCCTCCCAACTCAGTCGCCAATGTTCGGATCGACATTGACAAGGTCGACCATCGCGTCGTTCTCGTCGACCACAACCATAACAGTCACCCGCGGCCCTCAGCGATGTCGTCGTGGGCTACCATTACAACATTACAACAGTCGACTAAAAAGCTTTAATTAGGACATTTAAAAAAAACATAACTAAAACACCAAAAATTATCTTTTTACCCATCATTTTTGTATTATTCTTGCACGTATTGTCACATATTGTATCTTTCGACAATAAAATCGATGGTATTTGGGTAAATAATATTAAACATTTCACTTTTATAACTATAGAAATTTTAATAGAAATTTTTGAAGTTTAGGATCACGATGCTAAAAAGTTCTAACTATAGTAGATAATCTATAATTAGCCCCAATAATTCAAGGGATACTCCATGATATAGAAACTCGTCTGTTTAACCCATTTCACTGGGGGCCAAAGAATGCCGATAATTAGAAAGAGAAAATTTGAAAGTAGTGAATCGATCAACCACCATTCGAGAAAGACCGAGGGAAAGCGGGGTAAATTCGACTTACAAAGCCCAGCCAATGCCAATGCCGCAGAAAGGGAGGGGAGGATCCCTCATGGCCATGGGTATCCCATCCACAAAAGTCGGATACAGATGAGATTGGTACCCAACTGAAACAGAATCCAACAAGGGGAAAATTAAGGATTCCGAATTGCGAAACAACCCACCTGGGATGACGTGGTAACCAGACGTGGTTTGCGGCGTCGGTTGGTGATGCGGTACCGCAGGAGGGTACACGAGGGGAGCCGTCGGCGGTAGCTGTGAAAAGGTGCTGTAGGGAGGAGGAGTAGAAGGAGGTTGGACGGCGGGAACTTTGGTGCGATCGGCATCGCTGCCTCGCCCGGCCATCAACATCTTGGTCAAGAGGAGGGCGCCAGGTCGGGGTGGGCACTGAAGGCCTTTAAACGCGTTTGGGGTTCCCATCGAAAGCGAGAGCGAATCCTGTGTATCTAACAAGAGACCAAACACAGTAGCACAAGCGGCAACTGTCCCAAGACGAAGTGCCCCGCATTTTTTCACCACTGGAAGCAAAGACTTCTGTGTTTGGTGCTTTGAACGAGACATAGATATCGCAGAGACGGGAGGCTGGTTTCTCTAATAATTGTGAAGAGATTCCTACCCTTACCCGTTAATAACCTGCCGTAATTGTCTACCTTTCCTGTGACTGGTGGACGGGGTCGACATTGTCTTCCACGGACGCGTGGGTACAAATTGAGCAGGTGAATGCAAAATTATGTTTACGGATGTTCGTTGGACAGGGCCCACACCGTTGGACGGCTGTGATGTCGGAACTGAGCTCCGAAGCCTGCGAGGAACTCAATATTGGCGAATTTACTAAAGAGCCATTTATTATAAGTTATTCCCATAAAAGCTTCTTATTTTCAGTTTTGCTGTACATCGTTTTATTTTTCAAAAAGGCAAAAATGCACTCAAAAAATGTTGAAGTATTTTTTTTTAAAGAATTCGCCCTTTATTTATTGTATAACTTTATAATATGTTATGTTTATTTTGTGTATTTGACATAATATGTCTTGTACAAAGCATTATACATTTCTAAGAAAACTACAATGCAACCATTTCTCAAGCGCTTCATGTGTTGGGTAATATGACAAAAAAAAACATATTTAATTAGTCCCAAATATTGTATCAAAAGAAAAACAATGCTGTTATTATCATTAAAGGTTGTTTAAGATGAAACATTGTAACAGTCATGGAAATATCATTATCTTTTTTTTTTTTGCAAAGGAAAATAACTAAGACAAACTTCTAATCAGAATCTTATGATAAATCCGTCAAAATTTCTACCAGCAGCTAAACTAGCCAACACAATCTTAGAAAATCGAGGGTTAATAAACTTTCATGATTCCAACATATAACCTAACAACTGTATTATTTCCATCACACATTATACACACTAATGTGTTAAAAGAAGATTATGATTGGAGAAATGACGCAAGGAACAACATCATGGAATTGCATAGAATACCCAATTTCCTTCTGCTAAATTAACTTACTGGTCAGACAAATATGATCAGCTACAGAAACTACTCCGTAGTCAGTGAAGGTTGTTTGGCCCTTTCCAGCCAAGAACAAATGAAAGAAAGCCATCCTTGTAAGTCCACGAGAAAAGACTCTCAACAGTTGAAACAGTTTGATACATGCAAAATGCGATAAGAGCCCTTATGAGTAGTCTGGTTACATGGACATTGCAACCGAGTTCAGTTGTTACCGAACCCAAGTCAGTTTGATGAGGCTCGGATTGCCTGTGGCCTCACCGGGGTTTTTGAAGGACTCACCCTGAAACCACAATCTGTGTTATAACATATGACAGTGCAGAAATGGATGGAGGATTAGGAAAATACCTGATTTGTTGTGTTCCTAGAATCATGCCACTGCAATTCAGAGCTCGAACAGCACTTTCTGCCTGCCATTCATAGAAAAAATAAAAACATTAGGAAAACCTGAATAAATAGATAAATAGGCATGATAACCACTTTGTGATGCATGAAATTCACAAGCTCAATTTTTAGGCATTGACAATTATGCATACAGAAAAAAAAAAAGATTTGTGCAACTTCAGTGAAGATGTCAGCAACTCTCAAGTCTTCTTAAATTTCACAGAATGCATTAAACACAGGGAAACAGCTTTAGGACATCAAGATTTATCCAACACAAAAAAAGAATGTTAAGGAACATGTATTTATAGATAAAAAGAATGCGAAGAGGATTGCATAGTCAAACACCCCAGAAGAGTCAAGATTGGCATATGCTAACACAGATAGGAGAAGGAATAAAGCTTCCTAAGTAAAAAAGCTTACAGCACACAAGAATACAACCTGTTACCGCTACTGCTACACCAAAGGATTCAATTAAGTTAAATTGTTATGCATGTCCCTCTTTCAATCCGTCTTGAACTAAAAATTTGAGCAGAGCAGGCTGAGTATATGTATATGTGTGTGTGTGTGTGGGTGCGCGCGCAAGTGCGCGCTCGCGTGTGTACATACATACATATATACATAAATATACATATATGCATACATACATATACATATACATACATATGCGGATATACATGTGTATGTTATACATGCATACAAGTATTTACAACACAATCTATTTTTTGAACTTTGATATCATGAAACATCCAAGACCCATCTAGCTCAATCAGGGTTAGTACCTTCTGCAATAAACTAGAAAGTTAACAAATTAAGTAAATTCTAAAGAGTCCACAAACACAGTACAGCCTTTAAAGTAAAAGAAGAAAGCAAATGCTGACAAAACAAAACAGACGAGCGCAATATTTGCCCCTTAACACAAGGAAACAGAAAAAACTGAACTAAGACAGTAAACACAAAATGTAACTTAGGAGCAAGAATTCCGTTTCGCCCACAGCGGTATGTACCGACCAGTATTTACCGGTTGGGGTGTGAACCGATAAATGGACATGACCAATTTCGAATAGTCCGGTCCGGCCATATAAAAACAAAAATCACATACCTCCTCCTCACAGTCCAGCCCTAATCCCGGGAGAAGCCTCAACACACGTAATTAGCCACCACCTGCATCCCTATCGCCCACGTTGCCGTGGACCGAGTATGTTTCTCTTCTCCTCCGCTTCTTCCTTCCTATTCCTCCTTCCTTCTCTTCCTCCAGCTCCTCTTGTTCCTCTCCCTCCTTCCTACTTCACTTCCTCCACCCTATCCTCTTCATTTCTTTTCCTCCTCTTCCTCGATCGGGTAGGCTCTTCTCCACCGCCTCCTCTTCTTCTTCCTTCCTCTACCCCCATTGCTGCACCTTCCTTCCTCTTCAAGCCTTTGATATATAGTGAAGTACCATATGTCGATACACCGAGACTGGTCAATACATTATCTAGCTAGGGACCGCTATAATACCTTGGTACTAGATTGCAATCCTTGCTTAGGAGTCGAGAAATTTGACAGAGATGTCACCAAGTTCTACTCTTATTTGATATATACATTGCCAGACATCATTTCTGGTGCAAAATACCAATTTTGCTTTACATATTCATTATGCCCTTCAATGAAATAATTCTAGCATTAGATCAGATGAAAAAGGTGAATGCAATTACAAATTTGCCCAGTGAACAATCTTCTGACAATTAATTATAATGCATGAATGACATGTTTCATGCCAGATTATGTGTTTTCCCGACTGAATGACCCTTAATTTTACAATCCCAATAAAGAATATAATATGACACTAGAGTGCATCTGTCTCCAGACAGTGTCCTTTGCTATGTATATATGTGTGTATCTGTGTGTGTGTGTGTATAAGCAGGTCGAGCATTCATAATAATGCCATTAATGAACTGTATAGAAGTATATTGATAGCTCCAACATGTACAAAGTATGGAAATGCAACAAGGTAACTGCCACCATTTAGATGCTTGATAACCGTGCCGGTTAGACAACAACCAGAGGTCACAAAAAAAGATTAAGATTATTTGTCTTCATTACAAGGGCATAAGGACATCAATAACTATTCTCTGTTAGTTATCATTAGCAGTTAAGTTTCATAATGTTTCAAGAAATGATAAAAAATCATGGTTTTGATGTTACATCATAATTGTGGCTTAATCAAAGTTGCCCTGAAAACTTAAGCATGCCAAGACAACAAGTACAAAAAGAGGACACCATGGAGTGAGGAAGATGATGATAACCAAACTACAAATCTTTATGTGCAATGACTAATCTTCACAGAGCGAAATTAGAACTCTTGGACATTATGATATGGCTGTACAACTTAGTTAAAAACAAAGCATTTAGAAAGCATGATATGTCAAGGTGAATGTGAACATACTGGATTAACTTTAGATGCCCTAAAATGACTGTTACCATAAAGCAGGATTATAGAATATAATGCTTTTTCTTTAAATGCCTGAACTCACCACCAGATTTCAGCACTTCATGGATTTGAACAGGCTACAGAACCTTATTTGTCCATATAATTCAAAAAATTAAAAAAGAAAGATGGATTCTCTGACAAACATGATCGAGACATGCCTGACAAAGAAAACTATCTTTTTAACCTTGAAAAGAGTAAGATTTTTTTTAAAAAAAATCATCTTACAGATATACAAGGATGGTGTTTGCTAATAATTACCTGTACAAACTCGACAAAAGCAATACATGTTAAATGTGTATCGCCAAGAAGTCTCAAACGAGAAACCTGTACAGAATAAATAAAATGATTAACCATATTAAACAATGAATTAAAAAGGTATCAGTTCAGAGATAATCGGCTGACCTCACCACAAAATTGCTCAAAGAAAACTTTTACTTCTGTTTGGGTAACCTGCAAGAGAGCTAATCCAAAGTCATATAAAGGCAATCTATACAACAATAACAAGTGCAACAGGCTGTAATGCCCCAACTATTTGGAGTTAGCTTATTGGCTACATATAAAGAGAATCCATCAAGTTATCTGCCAAAACTAATTGCATGTAATATTAACTTTTTACAAGTTATCTTTGCCCATGATCATTTTAAATGTTTTTTAGCCATTTGGAGAAAGTAGGTAACAACATAAGCAGAGTTCGGCCTACCTCTTTATCGATGTTCGTGCAATACACTGTCCTTGAAACCATTTCCTTCTCGTCCTCTGACTGCATTATATCTTTCCGGTTAGCATAATTCAACCAAACTGAAGTAACCATGCAACAAAATCTAAAAACAATGTCTACATTTTCTCATCATATTAGTAAAACATAAAACAATATCTGTAATCATATTAAAATCTAGGCAAGAACTCACCCTAGGAAGAAATTTTGGATTCACAGGCAGGATTGCAGTCTTTGAAGGTAAGACTCTGACTGGATAGTAACCTAGCTTAGTAAAATCAAGATCTAGGGCTGCTCTTGCACCATCTATCGGTAAAGAT